CTTTTGAATGATGTAAATGATAAAAATGAAATGAAAAAGGACAAAATGGAAGGAAAAAAAGTTAGTGAGATAAATATAATATAAAAAATAAGGAAAATAAAAAGTTCTACCCCACATGTTTATTATTCATTACCCGGACATGATCTCTATCCCGCAAGTTGGTTTTGAATAAGTCCTAACCACATAAATTTCTAGTTCACATGCTTTGAACAGAAAATAAAGCAGGAAATAATCTCAAAACAGCCTAGGGTTTGAAGTGAGGTTTTAGGGTGGGCTCTAATTCCCTTTAGTCTCCTGATTTAGGTTCTAAAAAGGTACTCAAGTTCTCCTTGCTGGTGCCCCTTGGGCTTGCCAGACCTTTAGTCCTAAGCCCATTACAAGCTCACGTGGACTAAGTTAAACTCGAGAGGAAATATTCTCTTATGCTCGTATAGTGAATAAATTCACACGAAGACATAAGGTATATGAATCCTGAAGGTTACTTGTTAGGCCAGCACGGAGAATAAATTCTCACGAAGGCGTCGCTTTCACCGCTACTTAAAAAAGGTTTGGAGCTCGGGTATAGAGCCTGAGATGAAAATTTTGAAAATCTGAAATCATTGAAAAAAGTCAGTACAATTATTTATTTGAAAAAATAATCAAAAGTAAACAATAAGAATCGAATAAATAAATTAAAATTTAAACTTGTAATTTTCGCTCAAAAAGACAACCGGAAATTAATTTTGGCCTGACTCACTTACATGTCCCTAGTGAGGTCGCCAAGCTGTCATAACCATTTTTAGGTGGAACAATTATTTATTGTTTAAAAAAACGGTTAAGACTTTGGATTTGGAAAATTTAGTGATCTTGGATTAATTTGAATTAAATTGAAATGAGTCGTCATCGGCTTTTGGGTTAGATAGGTTGAATACCTAAAACGTCTTTTAAAATCAATTTTAAGAAAAATCAATTTTAAGATAAAAATTGGTCTGCGTTTACCAAAGATTCGATTAAACGGTTCGGGAGTCGGCTACAGTAAATGAATGATTAGCACCCTTAAACTGCCCAGTCTGTACCATTTTAATTTATCGATTGTCTTAATTACGAAAATTAAAATTTAAAGACTTGATTTGAATTACTCGTTTAAAAGAAAGTCCTTTTACTCGAAATGAGATCTTGAAAGCATTAACTTAAAGGACTAAAATAGCAGAAACAGAAACTTAAGTGATTAAAATAAAATAACAGAAACGTAAGTGTCAAAATCAGAAATAAATAAAACAAGAGATATGACATCAATGATTAAATTAAAAATAATTAATCCTAAGTTCCAAAAATGAAATAAATAAAAATGCATAGATTCAGGTATTATAATGAAAAACATGCCTAAAAGTACATGGACTAAACAAAAATCAAATCAAAAATACATAATATACATCATAAATGGATAAACTACAAAAACGATCCCTGCAGGTGATTATTTTAAAACACGTCAAACTTAGGGGATTTAAAGTGCAATTTTCCCCTAAAGATTTCTATAAATAACAAATTTTTTTTTATTTTCATTTCATTTCCTTTTAAATTATTTTCTCTCTAAAAAATCGATCAATTGTTAGTGAGTTACCTCTATCGGTCGCCCGCTCCGTCGTCGTTGGCCACAGCCGCTGGTGGCTGATGGTAACCAAATTTCACCAGACGGTCCGTCTTGACCTCCCCATCTTGGATCTAGGGTTGGTTTTGCATGAATCGGTTTCGTTCGTCGTAAAAAGGCAAAAAACCATTCATCTTTCTTTTCTCCGATCCATCGTCGTCCGCCGTTTGATCGTCCTGATTTTTTTGTATGTTGTTCGTGTTGTCCTTACGCATCATTTCACCGTTTGGATCGTCGATTGGAGATCTCTATCACCGGCGAAAATCTGGAAGGATGTAAGAACCCTTTTTCTCTTGTATTTTTTCTATTTCGAACATATAGGAAAGAAAAGAAGAAAAAAATAATATGCTGCTGGAACAAATGAAATAAAAAAACAATCTGTTAATGTATCAATTTTCATTGGAAGAATTTTCGGGAGAAAAATCCCTTTTTACATTGCTTGGTTCGAATGAACCTCGAAAACGATAGCCTCATTTTTTTTGTTCAGACTCTCCCTTTACATTTTTTCATTCGAATTCCCTTTTTTTTTTCTCCCTCCTTTTTCGTTATGTTCGAGACCCTCCTTAAATAATTTTTTCCTTTTGTTTTCAATCATCACCGAATGTCATTGTCCATTTTTTCTTTATCTTCTTGCTTGCTTTTTTTTTTTTTTCCTTTTGCTTGATTTCATTTTTCACCGAATCCCCTTAATTTATGGTTGATATCAAATGGGGTGTGGGCTCAGATTTATGTTTCTTTTTGACTTTGGTCTTTGGGGTATTTGATTGTTTTCGGTGGATTTGTGTGGTTTGGGGTAGGTAGCCTGCAAAAATAAATACTTATTATAAGTAAAAAACAAATAATAATAATAATAACATAATGTATTTAATATTATTTTTTCGACTCGAACAAAAACAGGTATCTACACCTTCTATGTTTCCATTTTATCATCTAGGTTCTGAATGCGTTGTGTCAAATGCTTCTTCGCAGCCTGCCCACAAAGGTTTTGTAAACCTATCAGAGGCTCTACGGATATTATAATATTACATAGCATGTCATTTTAAAATCAAAACTGATTTCAAAACTAATTAGGACAATGTATACTGGAAGATGCATATTCCTTGAGAAAACTTCATCAAATAATAAATTTAGTGAACACACACAAAAAAGAAGAATCACTAGACGAGTACGCAAAAAAGAAATCTTTTACTTCTTTTAGAAAGTCTATGCCCAAAGTTTTTGGTCCCTACTACATCTCACCAAATATGGCACTAATTAAAAGGCAATTTTCCATTAACATGGATCACAATTACTTTGACCGGCCAAATCCTATTTTAATGAAATAAAGGAACTTCAAGGCATGTAATACATTTTGGTTGCAGAAAACTGCACCAGTGAAGCATTTAAGCCGAAACCATGGTAAGAAAAAGCATTGAAGAGAGCATAAACTTACAGACAGAACATCTGAGAGAGAATCCAGATGTTTCGTTCAGTTCTCCACAGCCATCGCCATAATGCGTTTCGTGACCCAGAAAAGATCAGAGAATGAAATTCTCTAGTAATTAGGGGGAAAGAAGTGTGAAAAGTAGTCAAATTACACATCATACATCAGAACTGAAGAGAAATAGAGCTAATTGTAGAAAAAGTTAATATCAATATGCAAACTAGTCAAATTACAACTCATACATCATAAATGATGAAATCGCCATATTATTTGAAAGACTTTAATGATGTGGATGCAAAAAAATCATAATGGCCAAGTCCGACTTTGGGGACTTTATTTTGGACAACACAATATAACTAAAGGTTTGTTTGTTTCACGTAAAACGTTTTTCAAAAAACGTTTTAGTCATTTTTCAGTATTTGGTTAGAGGAAAATTGGTTGGTCAATGTAAAACATTTTCTTGATCAACAAAATTTTCTCTGTGTTTTCTGGAAAATGACTAACGGTCTGATTTTTCGTAAGTAATTTTTCAAACTTTTTACTTCAAATAATAAATACTCAAAATAATTTTATTTTATGAATTTAATATTAATAAAATATTTTAATATCATTTTAATAAAAATATTAATTATTAAAATGTTTAAAATATATTTATTAATATTTCTAATAATATACTATTATATTTTTAATATTATAATAAAATAATCAATTATATTATAATAATATAAGATATTATATTTTTATTTTAATAATATATAATAAATTAGTAATATTTTTAAAATATAATATAACACTATTACTTTAATAAATAATTAATATAATTTATAATATTTTTATTGCAATAAAATATACCAATATTGATATTTTTATTAATAAAATTATAAAAATATTATTTTAATAATATAAATTATTTTAATATTTTAAAAATAATAATATTAAGTTTTACGATAAATAATATTATTTATTGTATTTAATATTTATAATAAATAATTTTTTAAAAATTCATCAACTAGTGTAAAAAGAGTTTAAAAACATCTTCTAAACATCGTAAAACGTTTTCCAAAAAATATTTTTTTAAAAAAATTTATTCATTTTACGGAAAATATTTTCCGAAAAATGTTTACTATGAAATAAACGGACTTAAGATGGTTGACCATGAAGATGGCCCTTGGGTTCCTGAGAAGATATTGGTTGCTGTTAAGCAATATTGTGTTGTAGGTGGAAACTCAACAACTGCACAGTGATCAGCCGAGGAGAGCAGACTTGGAAACCTTTTGCTCTCTGTTACACGAAGTTCGTGACATGGATGGATCTGATTGGTTTCGTGGCTGAAAATTTTTGCTGCACGGTTTTAGGGAAGGCAATTTCGGTAACAAACTATGGATCGATATCGATCACTGTGGGTTCATTTGTATTAAATTATGAATAGTCAGCTTTAAAAGCGTATAAGTTTGATTATATTTTTAGTTTTGGTCTTATTTGCAAAATGTTAGATCCAGAAGAGTTAATGCACGATTCCCTTTCTGTCGATGAGTTGTCAAGTTGTTTTCTTCTCTAGTTGGTTATCCATTATCGAATTCATTGCAAAAGAAGAAAAGGCATAGTCGTGAGCTCCAAATTTGTGGAAAAAATGAAGTTTTGGTGAAGGCAATAGCAAGCATGTGGTCCTACGTAATTAAACATGTATCTTTGCAGATGTTGTAAGCCTACAAATAGTTGTTAAGCCAAGCTGCCTGGTCTTAACTCAGAAACTCTCTTCTTTCTATAACTCAGATTCAGCCTTGGGATGGGAACTTGTAAATTTGTTTTGTACGGTTCATCATCACTTTTAAATATTCCTTCCCCTACTCCCAGGTTTTGCCTTTTTTATCAGGTCATTTTCTGTCAGCTCAATGGCTACGGTTACATTTACATCAAACCTGTCACGAACATCAGCCTTGTTGAAAAACAATGGCGAAGATGGAGAAATTGGAGTGTTCGGAGCTGAAAAATATTTTCAATGGAGCAATAGATGTTGATGCTGGTGGTCCAATAACAACCAAAAAAGATTCAAACAAGTTGGAAAGCACGAAACATCACGTGATGAAGCCATTGGCACATCAGGCAGCTCCAAGTATGCGTTCAGAATCAAGCTGGAATAGCCAAAATCCATTACTTGATAACATTGTTATCCAAAAACCTCGGCCAAAACCCAGTAAGCCTGTGAATGCAAAGTCTTTCTTTACTTCTCTTGCCGCCTGTAATTGCAACTGCTTCGATAGAAACTCCATTGATATCGACGTGAGTGAAATCAGTTTCAAAAGACCCAACGGTGAGTTATTATTTCAACGAAAGCAAAATAAAACAACAGCCGCTATAAAGGAAGACCCTTTCACATTCCGCACCATGGATTCAACCGTGGCTATTCGGCCTATTAAAGTGCCATCGCAAGGAGATGTCGATGAAATCGGAAGGAAATCGTTGGAGGTATTCGGCTTTCCCGTAATCGGGATTGGGAGGCGAAACAAGTCCTTGAATCTCGAGAGGAGGCGTAAAATGTTATCATGGGATCATGCAATTCCCAAGGTAGGAGAAACTGAGAATAACAATAATTCTAAAGGTAATTGTAAGTGATGCGAGTTCGGATTTGTTCAAGATCGAGAGCTTAACAGGGAAACCGAATCATTGTTACGCACCGAGCGGGGCCAGTATAGAGTGGAGTGTGGTCACTGCAAGTGCGGCTGAATACGATGAACGAAGGCCGCCCACAAGTTTATCGAGTCCGATAAAAACATTTCCAACCGCCACCGACTCAAAGACGAAAATCAACGTCCAGAGGCCACGTTCTAGTGGTCTATTGGGGTGTAATAGCTCGAAAGCAGTAAAGATAGATGGTGATGCGCATAAAACGAATCAAAAGGCAGGTTTAGACCCAAGAATGAGGCATGTGTCGGACTCGTACATGCCCGTGACGAGACTTGGAGCCGACAGTAAACTCGTTGATGCGGGTGCTTTTGAACGTAGGCTGATACTCGCCACACGCTCCCTTCCCGTTCCTCCTTCACATTCACCATCACAAGCTTCTCCTCTGTTGTATATTCAGTAGTTTGGAATTACGTACATGGAGCTGGAGTTTATCTTAGTTTATGTAAAATTTTGTTCTACTTGTCATGAGACAAAGATTACTAGTTTTATATTTCATTAATGATCCGAGTTAAATTTGGGAATTCAACTTGATATGTTTAAACTTAAATTTATTCTACTTTGATTTATTATAAACTAATTCAACCTCAAGTGTAGAACCAAATAAGACTAGTATAGAACCAAAGAAATGATTTCACTGACCTTGTGCCCCTAACAGGCCATGTGCTTGAGGAAATTGGAAGGGTAAAGGTAGATATTGCAACACATCACCACTATGGAACAACATAGTTATGAAAGGAACATATTTTGTGGGAATGTAAATGATGTTTGGTTAGATGTCTATTTGCACTGAAACTGAATATAATTCAATTGGACCATTAAAAACAAGACGTATTTATGGATCCAACTAAACTGTTATTTGAATTGGATGAAAAACTGGACCCATAAAAGGGAATTTTATTTCAATGAAAGAAATGACTGTACCATAACACAAAGAGGGATGTTGGTTGGTTATTTAATGAAAAAGATGAAAACGACAAAATGGTCCCTCGTTTTTGCCTCACATTATGGACCGACAGCGGCCAAAAGAACACTTTATTTGAAATTAAGTGTTTGGGATTTGGCATACTATTGATGACCAACCATGCCCTCTGTTTTCGAGTGGTAGTATACATATTGCTTGTAATTTGCAAGGTGGTCGTTTCTAAAGAGAAGAAAAAGATGCAAGTCGGCCGGCGATGGATAATGCCCCCTAGGCATATGGAACACAATTTTAGAGCACCCAAAATCAAGCAATGCAGATTTCAAACTTCAATATTCAATAATTATATTATATTTAAAATCAAACTAAATATGATTCCTAAATGAAGGATAAGCTAGGCCAACATTATTTTCTTCTTCATTAAAACTTGAATTTCAATGTCATATACAAAATTGGCATTAGCTAGTATCTTAGCTGTGGCACTTAAACCCATTTCTAGATATCTTCCTTTCTATTATGAACATCAACCGTATGAGCTCAAACAACAAAACGGTGGGTAAAACAATTAATTATTCACACTATTGGTATCAATATGTTTTCATGTACCATTTGGAGTATTTTAATTGTTATATATTAATATTTTTAATTTCTTAAGAGCGTCTTATAGGTAAGTAAATATACCTTAGTTATATCAATATAAGAAAAACTTGTATAATTGATAAGTTCAACAACTTAATTAATTGATGCTTGGTGGTGCCGAAAAGACACCTTATCCAAGTATTTATTCATTCAGAATTAATTGATGCTTTGTGGTACCGAAAAGAAACCTTATCCAAGTATTTATTCACTCATAGAAGCCTAAAAGGCTGGCTGTACAGGTACTAAAGATACGGGGCCAGTCCTTAGGGGTTAAGCAGTGCAATATAATTGGAAAAGCATAAAGCAACAGATACATATTCATTAAATGTTCAAACAAATGGAGCTTGCTCAGTATGTAAAAACAAATTTTAACTTTGCCAACTGGGGTACAATTTCATATCTATTGAAGCCCTATCTTTAGGCTAAATACCGATACAATTTCCTATCATTGCCGTCCCTTTCCAAGAATTCCCGCTCGATAAGAGACTCAATTCGTTTCTTGATCTCCGTTGGGTTCGCCAGGAACCGTGACTGCAACTGCTTTGTAACCTCAGCTATGATATTGTTATGATCCAGGACCTTCCTTGATTTCATGATCCTAACAATTGCAGCTTCGATCTGCGGCTTCCTGTCCTCCTCCACTCTTTGTCGCGTCTCGAGCTTTTCGGGTTCTGATTCCTTTTGTGCAACCACAGTTCCAATCTTCACTTTGTAGAATTTGCTTGTGAACTTATCATTGAAGAAAAATGTATCATCTGTACCAATATCTCTACTCATAGGTTCTTTCCTAAGAACATTCTTTCCCCTCACGCATGCCATCGATTGCAAGCACCTTTTCAAGTCTGAAGCAGGGATCTCAGTGGCTTGTTCGATCTCCTTGTAGCTAAGCCTATCAGCGTTATTGAAAAGCATCAATACACACAATTGGTACGTTGAAACATTCAACTCATGCTTTTGAACCTTCCCAAAAGTGGCTTTTACATCTGCTGTCCCCATGTTAGTTTGCCAAGACAACCTCCGACCAGTATGGGTTCCAAGATAATATGACCGAAACTTCTCACACAGTGCTGCCATTTCACTGGGCAGATTGCAAGTAATAGTAGGCTGAGTGGGCCAAGACCCTGTCGTTAGAACCTGAACAACTAGGGTAGGGCCTTCTGCTAGCTCAGGATAGCTGGCATAAAACCCTAGCATTGTGTCCTGGGAGGTCTTCATGTCTGTAAACATGCCTTCTAATTTTGAAGTATACTGATATCCACATTCTGTCTTAAGCTTGATTATCAGACTTCTCTCTGCATCATCAGATACAGTTTTTCCTGACAAAAGCCGCTTAGCTAAGTGCTGTTTGTAGTACTTTTCAAACACATCCTTCTCCTGCAGGTAGCGGAACAGCATCATAACTTTGTCAAGAATGATCTCCACATCCTCCTCACTGAATCCTTTCAATCCTTTGCGCAGCTTGTCATCCACAAACAAGGAAATGAACTCTGGAGAACGAGAATTCAAGTTAATGAAATACTCAAAAGAGGAGTTCAGGGCATTCTGGAATGTCTTGGCATTGCTAAATGCTTGACAAATGATTTTATCGTATTTGTCCCTTTCACCCAAGAGCCGCTGGACAAATTCCACAGGATCTTTCGAACTTTCTGCATCAGTAACCAGTTGTTTACCAGTTTCTCTGAGGTGAGAAGTCATCACATCTCGTATCATTGAGAGACCGTTAGTAACTCGTTTAAATAAATTGTACATTCTACCCAAGTCTTCATACTTGTCATCAAGAAGCATATTTACCAAGCCAGAGTTCTCCATGTGGACCAGTCTCGTCATGTGGTTAGCAATCATCTCCTTCTCCACCACATTAGTTATCTTGGCTTCACTCTTGGCATCCAAATGGTGGGTAACTCTTTCAATTTCTTCATTTAGACGTATCTCTGCCTTTTTTAGATAATCCCCACAATCACAGCACTCAATAAATTTTTGAGATTCAACCTTATAAAACTCTGCAGAAACCTCAAGAAATGGATTCTCAAAATCCTCCTGATAAACAGAAGAACCCAAATCCATAAGCATCTTGATTATATTCCTCATCAAACCCCGGTCTATAACTTCACCAGTTCGTTCTCTGTGCACTAGTGAAAGAAGCATGCTCAGAAGCCTTGACTGTATTTTCCCAGAATGTATGATATTATCCCTCCACAAGTTGAGCCCCAGCTCATGAACAGGGGTTTTACGAGAATTTGGAATATAAGTCCGGTCCATGTACATCAATATGTCTCGAATCATTTGCAGTGCCTTGTTGTAGTCATTCCATTTCCTGTTCAGCTCTTCAAGAAACAAATCACCTTGAGCAGCCTCTATAGATTTCGATATTTCTTTGAGGTGTGCAGTCATAGTTGTAACAAGTCCAGAGTAAAGCTTCTCACCAAATTTGTGCAAAACCATGTTGTACGCATTCCTGAACTCGTATCAAAAAAGCCAACATCATAAAGAAAAGATCCAATATTTAATCAGCTCATGTGAAAGTCAATTAAGATAGGTTCCAGAGCGAGCACTCTTGCAAGCATAAAACAGAAGTTTAGCACAGATGCAAAATTCCTCTCTGAACAACTATGGGAAATTACAGTGCAAATATCAAAACTGACCCTAAACTAGAGTTGAATTACAGCTTGGCAAAATATATTAGCATGACACATGTTAAAAGCTAAATGTAATTGTCCTAAAGCAAACAAAAGAAGAGTCCGTTGCTACTCTAAACTCCATATCAATAGTTGCTTGCTAGCAAAGACAAGGGAAACAAAGAAAGAAGCATAAATCCACAAGGAAAGCCAGTTACTGCTCAAAATTTCATATCAATAGTGAGTTTATATATATATTTAAAGAAAACAGTTCATTCTTTCACCACAAGCAGTATAAGAATCTTTCTTCACCTTCTCCCATCTAATTAAATCCCTACTTGAAAAAAAAATCATGCTTTCACTACTCAAAACCCCATGTTTTTTTTTTCTTATCATTTTTTTTGGGGGGGGGGAGGGTGGAATTTCAGAGACAATATCATCCGAGAATTGAAAATCCAATGGTTCCCAAAATGGCAGTAACTAAAACAACACCTAGAACAACTTAATTAAATCCCTAGACGCCGGTTACCTTCATAGGCATCTCTAAAAAGTACTTTCAACAACTTCGTAACCTAAATCAATATATAACATAATCTATCTGATGAGAAACTCTTCACAGTTTCAACAAATTTATGAAATGTTTTTCGACTTAAACGCAAAATTACATATATATTTCTGCACCAAACTCATATAAATAACAGACCAAATAGAAACATTAAATCACATAATTTAAACAAGAAGAAGAAGAAACCTGTAAAGCTCTTCGAAACTGAGGCCACTAGCATTATGATTGTAAATCTCATGGATTGCGTGTTCGAGAATTTTCCAGGTCTTTTCAGCATATTTCGGATCCACCACGACCCGGTGCTTGAACGCTTCTATCTGGAAATTCCTTTTCTTTTGATTACTCATTTCCTTCCTATCTTCCTTTTTCGCTTCAAATCCCAAAATTGATCCGAACGAAAACCTTCCGAAATAAATCGATTCAACCCCCAATAAAAACAGATGGCCAATTAAAAAGGGATCTACAAAACGTCCGATTAAAAAGAAGAAGAAGAAGCTATTGAACGATAAATTTCGCTTCCGGACGGTAGCGCCAGGTTAGCTTAGCTAATTAGTGTTTGTAAATGAAAAGATTATTTTCAATTACAATTGACATAAATATATAAATATATGAAAAGATACAGATTTGAACAGTATGCCCTAAAATAAATGAAACTAACATGC